CATATTTATAGTGTTTAAGTCACTTTTTACACAGCCTCTTCGGCTTAGATTAAAGCTAATACATTTCGTGGTTTCGTTGTAGTGAAAACCAAGTTAGTTCAATTGATCTTTGATGTCTTAATTCTTTTATGTATGAACTGTGTTTTTAGGGTAAACAATGGTTTATTAATATTAAATAGTAGTACTCCAAGTAATAGGTATACTATATATTAAGTAGATATTAAAATTGAAATTATTTTCTTAAACTGTGTAATTTAAGCGGTTTATTTTGTTGTATAAAATTTAAAAAAAAATGATTTCTAACTGATGCTATGTTTAAGAAACTATTAGTTGACTCTTAAAATTTCTTTCTTTCTATAATTCCTTCAGATCACACCGGGGTTTTATATTATTATTATTATTTTTATATTAGATAAAAATCAAACTACAGTCTAAAACCAGGAGTAAGAAATTACTTTTTTTTAAATATTCTGTGATCCACTCATCGCACTGCACTGTACAACAATATATAGAATGTTGTTAAATACACAGTATATAACGCACATTTTCACATGAACATGGCATTAATGAATTTATTTTATTAACATTTTAAACAGTAAATACTATTTCTATAAAGGAAAAAAAACAATAATAATACAACCTGAAGTCTTAGACTATTACTTAACTAGGTATCATGAGTTAACTGTTAGTCACTTCACTGGTTATTATGAAGAGTTCGATGGATATGCATAAAATGTTTGACCAAGCCGCCAAAGATCTTAGAGATTATTTAGAAGTCACCGTAGACGATTTGAACTAGTACATTTTATCGGTGTGATAAACTTCTTTCGGTTTCGACTAATTAATTCGTAATGTTTTTAGTAATTTTTTGTTTATTGCAAGACTGAAACGTAATATTTAAAAAAATGTATATTTGTTTCACATATTACAAAATAATATTAAGGGATATGCATAGGAATATTAATTACATTTCATGAAAACTTCATGCATACTTTCAATAGGAATAAGCGATTGACAATAATTTATAGATTATTTAATTAATTTGTATAACTGCCGAAGGTTTAATAAATATAATACATGTTATAACATTTTTTTAATTTAATTTTTCCATTATACTTTGATTGTAATGCAATATACATATATATTTATATACATATATTAAATTAATATATGACTTTATAAGTTATCTGAAAAAATTACTATTTTTAAACTTGAATAATTTCGAAAGCAATTTTATAAGATAAAGTCTGTATGGAAAGTTGCGGAAATCGGTTAATAGTATTTTCGCTTAATACTAATTAGCGGTTTTACTATTTCTTTTTCCTTCCTTCTTTAGATAGACTATCTTTGGCGTTAGAGGTTTCTGCCTTATAAAAAGTTGCTTTGTACAGGTCATGTGTACAGTGTACTCTCAATAACGCAATAACGTTTTTTTTTTAAACATATATTTGGAATTATAATAGTCAGTTAATAATTATAAAATGGAATTTTATAGTTGTACAGATTTTGTTATTTTATAAAATTTATTTGACAATAGCTATTATAATAAATTGCAAATAACTGTTGCGGCTTTGGACGAGGATTGTTTCGAGTTCTATGGTGGCTGGATTTTCAATTATTCTTAGACAGATAATTCGTTTTATAGAATGTATTTGATTAAATTTCCTTGGAATTCGTTACGGTACGTACGTAACACGGGTTTTATCATTTGCCGCATCGTACTCGAAGCCAACAGAGGCCCAGAGTTCACTTAAGCTCGAGTTGACGGTAGAATCTATCCGATTTTCAATTTGTTGCATTACTTCATGGGGATTCAATATCATATTCATTGTCCGGATTTCTTGCCCAATTTCGGCACTTACATTGCTATTTTTCGGTCTGCAAAATTTATTATAAAACGTACGCAAGCCTCGTAAGGCGGTGTTCATATTGTTTTCGGTAGCATTGATTATTAAGTCGTGGTAAGTTTTGTCGCGTGATGTATCATCGAAAAACAAGGTGCTGTAGAACCTCTTGAACTCTTCCAACGTTTCGGACACGCCATTGTCGTACGTTGTTATTGGGAATTCATCGGTAATACACGAAAGCGTGGCCAGAACGCGCACCGCAATTCGGTCGATATTTTGGATCATTTACCTAAACTTGGTTATACATACCGCGGTCGTGGCGGGATCTCCAATGACCTTACACTCGAGTACTGCGCCTATAGTGTAACGGTAACATTTGTTTAGAGCGCTGGCATACTGACAGCTGAAAAGCTGATGCGCTTGACGGATTTTACAACCCGCGTTCCTGACGGTGACTAGTGGGTGGCGCCTTTGAATTCTGTAGGTTTCTAGTATATCTTCGGCGGTCACGAGGTAGCGGGTGTTCATCCATGGCACGGCTATCTTGATACCATCGCGTTGCGACATATTCCTCCAACCGGATAAACTAAATATGTAGTTCAAAGCGTCAACATGGTACTGCGATACCGGATCTGCTGCTACTAAAGCGGGCATGAAAAGCGTTAAAAAAATTAAAAATATATCACGTCCGGCTTTCATTTTTTATAATATACGACGATCACGACGCTCTTGAAGTACAGGCTTGACTAATACATCCGTTGCAGAAAAATGTACCCCGACGGTTTAATAAAAACCGAACAAAGGAAAATTGAGAGATATTAAATTCTTATTGCGGTATGTACAAACTATAGACATCGGTTGAAATTATTTTTGATACTCGTCAATCGGGTTCGCTGCATGTGAATATTTATTCAGATGTTGCTATGAGCTTGAAATGAAAAAAACACAAAAGAAATTGGTGTCTTAAATGAATTTTTTTTTTTTTACAAAAAGTAATTTATAGTTTGGTTTTTGGTCGAAAAAAAGTTTTCATTAAAATTATTTTTATTTAGCTATAATATTATCACATAACGTACTAAATACTAATAAAATGTATGCTGCTGTACACCTTTAGTCACATAACTATAGTAAATGTTAAAAATATTTATTTTCTTGCATTTTAGAACCCTGATTTTACATTAATTATAGATGAATTTTTAAATGTAGGATACTCATGTACAAATACATAGGTTTGAAAAAAACAGGTACGTGTAACGTTCTGATGACTTAGGCTCGACTAAATTTGATATTGTAAAATAAAACTCAATTAAAACAAAATCAAAGTTAAGTTATGACTTATGTCTATAAAAAATAATTTTGTTTCAGGACAACAGCTCGTGTTTATATAGTCCCAAAAGACCTAAATTAACTTCAAAATGTTCTTAATAAATTTGTTTTCCCAAGCTCAAACTCAACGTATTTAATTTTGTCTTTTATTATGTCTTGAACCCAGAAAATACCATTAACTCTTTTTACCCATTATATTTATTTGGCAAAGTTTAAAAACTTAATGTATGAAAACTAAAGTATCTTTCCTGAAAATGTTCACTAAATAAACAGGCGCGTCGTTCTAGGGCTGTGTACATAGTTGTTTTAATACATATATATTCTTTTTAAATTGATTTTTTGTAGGTATTTTTCTACATTCATATAATAAATATCAAGTTTTAGAAAAACAAGTCAATCCAATTACAAAATAATGTAGAAAATTGTCAATTTTGTTTGGCTTTCGTGTGTAATCTTATTGATATAAATTTTCATAATTAAAATTCAAAGACTATAATAAATCAGAAGTTGATAATTTTTCGGAACAAACTTATAATTTTAAGCTAAAGTCAATAACACCTAGTATGTTTTTTCAGCTGTTGAAGAAGTATTACATTTTTAGATATTCGTACATTGTCAAAAAAAAAAATGTAAGGATATACACAACACGGATTTTTGTTACTTACCTATGTATTTGATAAAAATATCTTTAAGGCATCTTCAGTTTAACAAATTATTCGCCTTCGTTTTTTAGGTTTTGCACCTATATACCTTGTTATTGTGAAAATGCAATGGTTTGTTAAATAAGCCATAGGTTGATAAATACTAAGCAACAAGAATACTATTATTGGATTTGTACGCATTGTAGATGTTGTATTTTTTTGGAACTCCTATCTTAATTAATTCATAAATATATATATATATATAAAAATCCTCAGAAAATTAAAAAAAAAATCAGTTTATATGTCGACACCGACAAAATTAACAGTCATTTGATATTAATTGACATAGTATCTTATAAAATCGTCTAGATCTTCTATCCAAAACGCCACTTAGGTACAGATTTTTTGAAATGGAATATATATATTGATATATTTAAAGATTATTTGTTTAATATTTTTTTTAAATATAAAATCTTAAAAAAATAAAACAACCGTTTTCTATTAAATTTTAAATTATAATAACTAAATTTTAACTTAAATGTTTCATGTTTTTTTTTTGCTTACAAACATAAATCATAATATATTGTATAATTGTTGAATAAAGCTAATACGTTTCATTGTATTTTTTAAGTAGGTATTGACTAAAAAAATATAATTTTAATGTCCAAATAAAAATAATAATGTAAAAACAGTTAAAATTGTTGGTCATCATAAATGTTTAATAACTTGCATAGCGACGGATAAATTAAAATCATTACTTTAATTTTTACATCAATTTGAACACTTTTGCTCTTAACAAAATACAGTGATTCAGTGAATTCAAAACTGACAATCCAATTTGTATTCGATATCGTGGAAAACAAATTGACCCATTCAATTGCATTTGTATTATGTTTGTTCTTGTTATAATAATTCATTTTTACTAAAAGTCCGACTTTAACAAATCAATTTCAAGTATAAAATATTTATTCATTCGTTTTATTATAGACTTGAAAGACATTTTTAATTAAACAGAAATAACAATTTGTAACTAAAAAGAAATAGTAATTTAGCACTATTTCAGTTTGAATTTTGATAATAACATAAAACGCGCGCAATTCAAACGGGACTATTTTGATAACAGAATAGTTGGCGCGAAAATATTTTGGCCTTATCATTAACGGATAAGATAACTATTGATAACGTCTCCAAGTGTTCATTGTAATTTGAAAATTTTACTTTTAAAAAATTGAATCGCCTACGGTTTATTAAGTTTTCTGTTTTTTTGCTTTGTTAATCTTTAATCGTGTCTAGTTTCTACTATACGGTATGTTATTATTGTGTTAGTTTTTATTTTTGATTGTGATTAGATATTTCCTTAGTCCGTCAATCTCTCAGTTAAGGAATTTAGATGTATTTCCTGCGTACTGATCGATCGGCTGATGTGATGAGGAATCTTAAAACATATTTGTATACCTTGAAATCTTTTCAGGGGACGACTAGATCATTTTATATTATTTTGAACTTAAGAGTGTCCAGTATTCAATTATAAAATAAAATATCACCAAAGAATCACACTTTAGATAAAAACAAATGAAATAAGTTGTTAGGTCGTCTTTTAGATAATGAAGAATTCAAATTTGTTTACAGATTCCTTATCATATCAGTAGATATATTATCGAACAGTGTAGTGTGTACCGTTTGAACAAAAATACGTCTAAATTGCTATAAATATTTTGTTGGATGGACCTAGACAGAATAAATCACTTTCCAATTGGCTTTATTTTGAAATTTATTACAAAGCATAATATATTATATTTGTAGACAAACACAACTGTTCAACATGTTTCCAAAGTACTCTCCACATACCATACCAATCAAAACTTTGAGCATTATGTATGAACATTTTCGAATCTTGTACGGGTTCTTCCAGTAAGTTATGTTTTATGACATAAATAAAAGCGAATTTCTAAAATCATTTTATTTGTTAAGTGTGTTTAAGACTTTTTTTTAAAAAAAATTAAAGAGTAATACAATATTTTGTAAAATTGTTATAGTGTATTAGGTACTGGTTTTTTTCAAAGTTCTAGTATACAACATTGACACTAAAAAATTACCCTAAATGTGTTGAAACTCTATTTTTTTGTAAACATTATTAATAATTTAATGTATTTTTAAACGAGTAATACCCAATTACAAATATGAAAGAATAGATAAAGTGTACATAAACACAGAATTAACACAAAAATAAAAGTATACAGCTGACAAATAAAATGGATTTCAACAACACAAAATAATAGATAAAGATAAACAATATTTACACAATTAGATTATTTAAATAAATAACAAAAGCTTCTATCAAATTTTTAACAAATAAATCATTATTATTTTTATTTACTAGTCGCATTATGCGATTAAATAGGGCATCACGATAATTTTGTTAGTACATTTCTAGTACATTTTTGCCCTGTTTTTAATGTATGTTTTTATTAGCTGTTTCGGGTTCCTAATGTTGATGAACAACCAATAATTATCGAAAATAAATACATTGGTGAAAAAAATTAACTTGTCAATATCTAATAGTCATCAACGAAGTACACAAATTTCATTTTATTATGTGTAATTTTTAATATATTCATTTAATTAATGTTTATGTCTTAGCCATTATAATAACATTATGTTTTTTATTATAATATATTAATTAATAATGAAAATACATTTTTTACAGAGAGCAAACCTTATGCGATGTCACGCTGATATGTGATGATGGCGTTCAAATTTTAGCTCATAAAGCAATTTTAGCATCTGCAAGCCCTATGCTGTTAGCAATGTTCAATGGTGGCTTTAAGGAGACTAAAGAAATTAGTATGCCTATTAAAGATATTGAGTCTGGTATATTGACGTCAATTGTAACTTGTGCATATACATTTCAGATGGATATCCAGGAAAATAATATAAAAGTAATATAATGTACAAAACAGATACCAAATTATTTCCATTGAACACATTTATTGTTATAATATTAAATTTAATTTTTATTTTAGAAACTATTGAGAGCTTCTGAATACTTTCAATTTAACTATGCTAAGGATTTATGTTACGATTATGTTAAAAAAAACATAAACGTCAATAATTGTATTAATTTTATGAGCTTTTCTGAACCTACATCACAAAAAGGGCTATACACTTATTGTTTCTTGTATTGTTTAGAACATTTTAAGTAAGTAGTAAAGATTGGAATTCGTTTGAGAACATTTTAATATGTACTACATTTTTGATTCCTAGAACAATTCTGGAAAATGAATCGCAGGTAATAGAATTATGTGAATTAAATTTTGAAGATATTACTAAGCTCATATCAAATGATCATTTGGTGGTTGAATTTGAAGAAAAGGTACTTTGGCAAAATAAAAAAATACAATTACTTTGATTATTTTGAATTGCATTTATGAGATATTAATACTCCCAACTGAAAATTTAGTATCTAAAGTTTTCTAAAATGTTGAAAAAGTCAGAAAAATCTGTAAATTAGATAAAAGTTGTTAAGGGGTTCAGATACACAAAGTTTATTAGACCAACTTTTTTAATAATTTTTTAACTACAAGTATAAAGAAATGAGATCATTATTTTTAGTTCACATTACTCTATTTAATATACATTTGTCTCATTTTATTACCCTCACTTGTTTTTTTACAAAGATTTTATTTAATAACGATTTATTTAAAAAATTGTGTACGATTTTACACATATGTTAATATTTGTTTTAGATAATTGATTTCATTTTTGAATGGATAAAATATGATTTAGAGGAACGAAGTAAATATTTATCAAATTTACTTAATTATTTGAGGTTACCTTTAATTTCGAAAAAAGCAATACTACGAATATGTGATGAACCATTGATGAGAAGCCAACTTGACTGTGTGTATTTAAACCGATGCCTTTCCCACTATTATATATAAATTATAACATATAAATACTGAATCTATTTACAATTCACATTTCAAATTATTTTCATATTACATATTAGTGTCCCATAATGGTTTTTTATATTAGCTTAATATTTCTAGGTTCGTTGGATATCATGAAAAATTATTTATCTGTCGATGTTGATGAAAACATTACAAAAGCAACAATGAGGACACCTCATTTGTATAATCCAAATGTATATAAATATTTTTCTTACAACTTATTTGTGGCATCCTACTTAGTAAAAATACTTTATAATAATCAATGTTACGTTTTTTTTAATATTGTAGAAGTACATATATTATGAAATCAAACAAATATTTCAATAATTTTTTCCACATATTTTGATTATTTTATAATCTAAGGAAATATATTAACGATATTATAAAATGTCACTATTTTTGCTAAACATATTTTTGCTATGTAGATATCTACATGTAGAATACTTTTTACATTTGTAGAAAATGAAATATGTAATACATTTTTTTCAGTTTATTTTTGCTATTAAAGGTCAATCCAATTGTGATGATTCTTATGTAATGTTTATGGATCTGAGGCGGGAAAATGATCTTAATTGGAAATCATGTGATTATTCATTTTTTTGTCCACCCCATCGAGATGCAACTTTGGTCGTTTCAGAAAATGGAATACTACTTGCAATTGGAGGGTATAATGAATTAGGAAAATGGAATAATTGTGTTGATGAACTAGACCTTACTTCTACTACAAAAATGTGGATACCTACAACGCCTTTGCGAAGATTACGATATTATTTTTCTGTTTGCACCCAAGGAAAATATATATATGTGGTGTGTATCAATTTATATTATTTGGAAAACAATATATCTGAGTCCAAAATACATGTAACATATTGAAAATAGCGTAGTCGAAGACGAAGAGGGCTCCTCGGACATTGACCACCCTCTACGGCCTGATGACACTACCGCTATACACGCTCACCTCCCGTGTGTGCTCGAGATCTTGGCGGCGCCGACGACGGCCGACACGTGGGAGAGGTTTACCGGTCTGGTGGAGCGGATTACCGCCGACGCCAAAGCGATGGCGAAGATACCAGACAGGCCCCCGAGGACCAACGTGAGAGCGCGGGTTAACGTGGAGGATGCCGAGGCCCTCCAAAAGCTTTACCGGAGAAACAGGAGAAAGGCGGTTCGCGCTATTGTCGGGGGCGACGGCGTGCGGTGTGAGATACCGGTCGAGGAGGTCGAGGCCCACTTTCGGGCGGTATGGGCTGGCACGGAGGGCGACCCGACTATATACCCATCGTACGACGACCGACGACCGATGCCCACCGGCGGGTTCACGGCCGTGGAAGTCGAAAAAAGGCTGAAAAAATTTGAGAATACCGCGCCCGGAGACGACGGGCTGACGTACCGACACTGGCGCCTGATCGACCCGCGGTGTGCACTGCTGACGGCAATATTTAATGTCTGTTTGAAGTACCGGAGGGTGCCTGGCCAATGGAAAAGTGCGACCACCGTGCTAATTCACAAGAAAGGCGACGTCGGGGAGCTAGGCAACTGGAGGCCCATCGCCCTGAGCCGGACGATTTACAAACTTTACGCCGGGTGCCTTGCTAAGAGATTGACCGCGTGGCTGATGGAGAACCATGCCATAAGTCCAGGCCAAAAAGGCTTTCTGCCGGCCGACGGCGCCTTCGAGCATGTTCACACACTGCAGCGGACACTAGAGCGTGCACGTACCGGACGAGCCGACAAGTGCGTCGCATGGCTCGACGTGTCCAATGCGTTCGGGGCAGTACCGCACGGCTCGCTAGTCGAAGCGGTCAGGGCGTCTGGAGCGGGCGATGTACTGGCGGACATAATCGCCGATATATACCGGGGTGCGGTGTCATGTGTGAGCTCAGCGGACGGTGTGACGGGCGAGATACCCGTGTTGTCCGGAATCAAACAGGGTTGTCCGCTGAGCGGACTCTTGTTCATCATGGCTATCGACCCCGTCGTTCGGGAGCTACAAGGCCAAAGTGAGGAACACAGAGTCCTCGCGTTTGCCGATGATCTCTGTATAATTGGTGACAGCCCGCCGGAACTGCAGGCGGCTGTACGGACGGCCGAAGAACAGCTGGGCCGGATTGCATTAAAAGTGAATGCTGCGAAGTGCGCCTCGTTGCACCTATCGGGTATCACTCCGGTTGGTGCCCGTGAGACGGTCTTTACGGTAGCCGGGGGCCAGATGCGGACGCTCAGCGAGGGAGATGCTGCGGTCTTTCTGGGGGTCCAGGTCGGCTTCAATATCGTGCCACCGATGTCGACGTTGGCCGATATTACCGACCTGGGCCTTAGGATAGTGCGCAGCAAACTTGCACCATGGCAGCGGCTCGACGCCCTAAAGACATTCTTTTATCCGGCGGCCACTTTTCCCCAAAGGTTCAGCGAGTTTAAAAAGACAGATTGGGAGACGGTAGACCGAATAATGCGGCCGGAAATCAAATCCACGCTCGGGTTACCGCAGGAGGCAAGTAATGAGTATCTGTACGGCTCGGCAGCCGGTGGAGCGTGTGCGATCCGTATGTTGGCCGAGGATGCTGACATAGCTGCGGTCGACAGCGCGTTTAAACTCCTCACCTCGCCGGATCATCGCGTGTTAGCGGACGCGTGGACCCACCTCAAGGAGGTGGTCAGCAGTAAGGCGGGTAGACCCGCGGACGTTCCGCTGGCGGGCGACTTCCTCTCGGGAAGTATGGATGGTGACTTGGCGTCGGCGCGGTCACGGACCGGCGTGAAATCGGTGTGGTCGAATGCTCGTAATGCTTCTCGGCGAATAAATGTTACATGGAACCCGGAAGGCGACGCCGTTACAATCCGGAGGAGAGGAACAACGATGCGGCCGAAGCAACGCCACGAGGTTATGAAAACGTTACGTGAAGAATTGCGTATGGAACGGAGCGAGTCGCTCCGCGCTAAGCCCGACCAAGGTCGGGCGATGGAGTGTGTTGCGGCGCACCGAGCGTCATCACACTTCATACGCGCGGGCGACTACACCAGGTTCGCCGACTGGCGTTTTATTCACCGGGCACGGCTCAATCTCGTGGCGCTGAACGGGTCAGCGTCGTGGCGGTCTGGTGACCGCAGTTGTCGGCGATGTGGGTATATTACTGAAAGCCTAGCCCACGTCGTTGACCACTGCTGGCGCTATACCGCCATGTACATGGCCCGCCACAATGCGGTTGTAGCGAGAATTAAGAAGGCGGCGGAACCCAAATTCGAAATTCTGAGCGAGAACCAGGTGATCGGGAGTGGAGGACTGCGGCCCGACCTGGTGCTCAGGCGTGACGGTCGAGTTTATATCGTCGACGTAACGATCCCGGCCGAAAACCGCGTTGCATCTTTCAAGACAGCCGCCGACGGGAAACGTGCGAAATATGAAGATTTACGGGCCGAGTTGGCCGAGGCTAATGCAGGAGCAGTGGTGTACCCAGTGGTAGTGGGTGCACTCGGGTCTTGGGACCCGAGCAACGATCTGCTCCTGCAGAAGCTGTGTGCGCGGTCATACGCTTCGCTGTTGCGAAAACTGTGCGTCAGTGAGGTGATTGGATACACTCGAGATATATACATCGAGCACCTCACTGACGTACGGCAGCGGCAGCTGTAGGCCGGCACACAATGTTACCTATTTTACCTTCTTTTTTTATACTGTGATTTCTACTTATTATTATTCTTATTTTTTTTGTTTTCTATGTCATTTTTATGTAGAATGTTTAAAATTTATTATGTTATATGTGGAAAATTAGATAAGTATGTAATCATGAACCAATGTATAAAATTTCAAATAAAAACTCTGTTCTTATCAGCTTAACATCTGATACACCTCACATCGTGGGGTTCAAATGTTAAACTAATTTTTTCAAATTGGTGGAGAATTTGGGGCTTGCTCCTACTCCACCGCGGGTTGACCCGGTATTGCAGTACCACCGGGAACGGCCCAAATAAACGTCTTATAAGCACTTTAAAATAATACTAAAATGTCTGACTTAATTTTTGAAAAACCAAAATAATTTTGGAAAAATCAAAATTGGTTAGAAAAAATTCCAAAATTTTTTTGGAATTCTCAAAATTAATATGGAAAAGTCAAAATCCTTCTCGGGGAAGACCCAAAATTATTTTGACTTGTTCATAATCACGATGGACGACTCAAAATTATTTTGAATAAGTCAGATCCATAATATTTTTCGAAATTACATGTGTACAATACAATCATAGTTTTTGAAGAATAACAATTCATTAAATTTCGAAAATAGTTGTGGACTTGTTTAATTTTATGTTCAAATTACAATATATTATTTTGTCCTCGACTACTGTATAGTAACTAATTTAAAAAACAGCAGTCGTTTGGTTTCAAAATGATCGTCACCACCTGCTTAAGCCGCAGTAGCCCAAAAATTAAACAACAATCAAAGACCAGTTATTTTGAAAAATGTCAAATTCCAAATATTATACACCATGGTCAACAAAATATAAAATATACATATGAAGTATTTATTAAAAAACAAATCCTTAGCAACCGACATTTATTATTACTAAATTCAATCAGTTTTTATAAAATATTGTCATTACTTCATATTGCTACACTTAGTCAAAATGCTAAATACTCCTTAGGGAACCAAACATTTTCAATTTCAAAATTCAGTTTTTAAAATTTCCTTTATTCATTTATCGCGCGGTTGTATGATGTAACTTGGTATTTGCTAAATAATTGAATCTTACAAACATTGCCATGGCTCTTAATAACCAAAATCCTTTTGTTATACATTGTTCAACCATCAACATATCAGGCTGCCCATTTATCGACAAGTAATGTATAAACATATTTTAAACGTGCACAATAATAAAATAATGGGATTTAGTTTGTATTTAATTTTTTGTGCTGTTTAACTAAATTGTATGCAGTGTGTTACATCATATTATATTTTTTAAAAAAGAATATTGTGTTTAAACCAGTAAAATAAACTCGCTTTCATCGCCAACGACCATACCACGTTGAATACACCAGTTCTCGTCCGATCACTGAAGTTAAGCAACGTCGGGCGTAGTTAGTACTTGGATGGGTGACCGCTTGGGAACACTACGTGCCGTTGGCTTTTTTTGCTTTTTTATAATCTGTACACTATTTTTTTGTTGTGTTGTATGAACTTAAATTGTACGTCCACAGGCGGATTGGGTAAATTTTTGTTACCGGGAAAATATATGAAAACGGCTCTGAGCTACTTATAAGTACATACTTTTTTTATTATTACTATCATCCACTTTTAGTACATATTTTTTTGTTAAAATGTTTTTGGTTGAATCTTTAAAAATGTATTTCATGTTAAAATACTTAATATAATTGAACACATTATTTATAAAATATAAACATACCTACATTTGTACAAATGTTAAGTTAAATAATAATAATTCAAAGAATAACGCAGTTAGGTATTGTTGTTTTTAATTTGTCTATATCCTTCTTAAATGTTTTTTTATTGGAATATATTTAAACATATTATCTAGTAGTATATGTTACAAATACATGATAATTGCTCATTCCGCCATTCCATAAAGTTCAAAAAGTATGAAATAAAGTTTTAAAACTTTTT